TTTTTTAAAATTTTATAAAAACTTATAATTTTTTTATTTTTTAAATTGAAATTATTTTATAATTTCCATTTTATTAATAGTTATAGTTATGCTAGATTATGTATTTTTTTCTTTAAATAATACTTTTTTTTACAATTCTGATCTGTAGTTAAAAGTTTTGTTAAAAGTAAAAATCTTCTTGAATTTCATGTATTTTGCACAAAAAAACTAATTTTATTACTAATGCTTATAATCTCTACCTAACTCTTAACCTTTACCCTTATGAATATTACTTCTATATATAGTTTTTTAGTTCTGATTAAAAATGTGATTATATTTTCTTTTTTATTAATATAAATAAATAAATATTTTAACAAACATTACGTAAATATATACATAATATTATTTTTTAAAAACTATTTTTTTTGTTATATTTGAATTTAAGTAACTAGAAACACTAATAACTGAACTAAATAAAGTTTTAAGTTTCTATTTTACTTTTGTATCAATTGCTAGATATATGTATTTCCTTAAAGATCATCTTTTAAACTATTTTAATCATCTTTTATAGCTTCTTCTTCTTTTAATCAGAATATCTCTTCTTTTTTAATATTAATTTTCATTCAACAAGTTTCTTTTCCCAATATTCAGGAATAATAATATTACTTTCATTTTCAATAACATTATTATCATCTATTGGATTTTATTGTAAAATTTTTTTCTAAATCATTATTTAATAATTATAAATTTGATTTAACTGGCCTAATATTTAAATCATAAAACTCTATTTCATTCTTTTGTAACTTCTTTTTTCTAAATAAGAAATTGATAGCTACATGAAGTTTATTTATTGATAATACTTTATCATTTTAAAAATAAATATTAATTAAAATGTGTAAATTTTAAAATTAATTATTATTTAATATTTAATAATTAGAACTTATATTCAATTGATTATAATGATTTATATGAAAAAATTCTATAAAAGACTACATGCATTCAACTGATACAATATTCACACAAATTCTAAAATTCTTAAAGCAATACTGACTAATTCTTTATAATCACCTTCAACATATTTCTAAAATTTAAATACATTATCATCAAATTGATCAAAAGTTTTATCATTGATTAATTCAATTTTCTGATGATAATTTTCAAAATCTAATAATAATTGTGTTAATCTTTTCTGAAATAATGCTTTATAATAATATATTATATAGCATTCTAATATGATAAATAATAAATTTTCTATTCTAGAATTAAAACATATAAGCTTATACATTAAATAAAGCATAAAAGAAAGTAATAATAATAATTATTTCCATTGATTTTACCATTTTTCTAATCAATCTATCATTTATTCTCCTAATTTAACATCAAAAGACTGATTTTAAAACTAAATAAAGTATCCTAAAATATAAAGTAATTCAAAAAGATAAGCTTTATTACTTTGAAGTTTATTTAAAACTTCACAATATGGTAATAAAATTTCTTATAAAGTTTCTATTATATTTTACTAATTTTGATTAAAAAGAATTTCACAAATACTTTTATTTAAATAGATTTTATTCATATTTAATATATTATTGTTAAGGAGCTTGCTTCTACTAGAGAATATTCATATCAAATTTTTAAATTCTAAAATAAAATTAACAAGTAAAATAAATTAATTAAATAATATATAATTATTAAATTTATATTTATTTATAAAGCTTGTTTAGATCAAACTATACTTTGAAAATAAAAGTAATGACTATTTTATCTAATTTTACCTAAAACTATAATTGAATAATATTTGCTATATAATTTCTTCTGTTTATAATTTACTAATAAAATAGCTATTATTTTTATTTTTAAAGTATGCTACTACTGTAATTATTTTAATTGATGCATCTTTTAAAATAAAAGATTCTTTAAAGATATCACAAATTTCTAACTAACATTGATATGTAAAGCAAGACAAAAATGCAATATAAGAATATTCTAAACAAAGTCTTCATCTATAATAATATAAAAATTAATTTTAAATAATTAAAATAAATAAATAAATGCAATTGATTAATCTTACCAAGCTTCTACATAAGTTGCAGTACTATCAGATCTAAATAATTAGCATTTTTAATTAAATCCTCAATTTTAGGTATTACTTTAATCATATATTACTTTCAGAAAAGTATCTGATCATCTAAAAAAAAATAAAAAAAATATTATTTATTTAAATTTTAAGTATAAATTTTTAAAATAAATAAAATCGTCAATATTTAAGAGATGTTTGATCATTTTTTTTATAATTTGTTTAAGTAAAAGATTATCATTTTTATTCATATAATTTGGTTTTCTAGATCTTTTAACATTTGATCTATTATTAGAATTAGCATACTATATAATTATATTTATAATAATACTTTTGAAAACTTTAAAACACATGCGATAACCTTATGAGTTCTTTTTGCTAACTTTAAACTAATAATTTTTTCATGTTCAAAATTATTTAATTCATGATTTTTTCTCATGTTAAATAGCACAGTTTTAAAAAAGTGAAATCAGATTTTTTTATTAGTCTAATCTATGCATTATTACATAAATAAATATATACATATTATCGTCAAAACCAGAAGGTTATTTTTAAAAAAAATTATTTAGTTAATATGTCTAATCTTAAGAAATTTAAAAAAAAACTTGACTAGATACTTTTTTGAAGGTAGTGTACATTTTCTTTCACTACTAATATCTAATACTTTCCATATTAAAATTTTATCTGAAGAAATAATAAGCAATAAATATATATTGATTTAAATATTTTTCATCCGTCAAATACTAATATCACATAAACTTTATTATTACTTAATTACTCATTTTGTAATGAATTTACATTTATTATTTCACTATTTAATATATAATTTGATAAAACTTTTCATTCTGATAAAATCAAATTTAAATTTAAAAATTCAAATAAATCTAATATTACTTGATTTTCAATCCATTAAAATAAAACTATTTGATTCGTCATTCTTAATAAAAGATATTCAAATATAAGTTATTCTTTTTTTATAAGAGTTTGAATAAGAATATTTTCCATTATACTATTACTGATTATAACTGGATGAAGATAACATTTGATAACACTATTGATATTAAAATAAGAGATCAAACTGAAAATACTTTTTTTTCTGAAATACAATATCAAAATTATTTTGTATAGATTCTAAGTATTTGAGTACTTTTCTTTTCTAATCTTATCAGAATCTAAATTAACTTTTAAGTATTTTTGCCTTGCAATTTCTTTATTTCATTATTTGTTAAATTTATAATACCATCTACTTCTTCTTGATTACCAATTTTTCTAGAAAGTATCTACAATTTTTTAAATGATTTTTTACTTGTAATTTTTATTTGTAAATATATACTTTAAGAGTTCACCTTCTTTTAAATTTTTTGAACATATAAGACAAATAGCAAAGTTATTCCAATTATTTTGTTTACTAATAATTTTAATATATTATGTTAAATGATACTTTTTAGACTTATTTTTCTTTTTGTATTCATTATAATAGATACAGTAAATGCAAAAATAAAAAAATTTTTTAAAGTTATATAAGATTTAAAATAATCTATGATTGATTATTAATAATTAAAAATAGTATTAGAAGTATTGAAAGTAGTATTAGAATCTTCTAATAGCCAATTCTAATAATACAAAATTTGATTGAAAACTTCCAATGCATATGACTTATTAGAAGATCAAAATATCAGATCAAGTTAACTAAATAACCTAAACTAATCTAACCTGTTCAGAACTTTATATTTTAACCATTATATATATTTTAAATATTTTAACTATCATAATTAATTTTAATTATCATAATTGATTTTGACTTTTCAATTTTTTTAACAAATAGTCAAAAATGATTTCAACTATTTTGATTATCTGAAATAATCTAAATTAAATAATTTTAGTTTTATATATAACATTAATTATTATTAAAGAAATCTAAAAAAAAAATTAAATAAATAAATAAAAAAAAAAATAAATTAAATTAAAACAGTTAATTATAATATTAATAAGTAATAAATAATGTTATATTAAAAAACAAAATTAAAATTAATTAAATTAAAGCTACTTACTATAGTTATCAATTGTTTGATAAAGGAAAAAATTTAAAAAACAATATTAATAAAAAAAAAATAATATTAAAAATAAATTTAAATCAAATTAAAATTATCATAGCTACCAATATATATTGTAGTTATTAGTAATAATTTAATTAAATTAATTATAAAAAAAAATAAAAATTATTAAATAATAAATTAAATTAAATAATAAATAAATAAATAAAAGTTAAAATGAAGCTACTTATCATAGCTATCAATTGTAAATAAAGAAATATAAATAAAAATAAATTAAATAAATAAAATTAATTAAATTAAAATTAAATTAAAAAAATATTATTAAACCAATTTACTATAGCTTCTATAATTATAAATAATAATTTGATTAAATTAACTAAAAAAAAAAAATTAAAATTATTAAATAATAAATTAAATAATAAATAAATAAAATTAAAGCAAAGTTACTTATTGTAGCTATCAATTATTAGTTCAAAAGACCAATACTGATGATAAGTGTTTTAATTTGATTTTTTAATATTAATTAATAATTTTATTTATAATAAGAAATTAGAATTTAATTTTTTTATAAAATTAGTTAATTTTATTTTAAATTTTTTTTTTATAACTTAAATAAATTTAAACTTTTAATAAAAATATCTTGAAGTTTCTATTTAGAATTTGATCTCAACTAAAATGAGATACATTTAAAATATTTGTAATATTAATTTTAAGCTCTCTTTTACCTAAAAATCTAGATCAGTCAGTAGAACCATTTTAGTTGAATGATTTTATTATTATTTTAAATATTTAAGTTAGATTAGCATTATAAATTTAGTTAGAATTATAGCATATAAAATTATAATTTAACCAAAATTATATAATCAGAGTCTATTTAAATTAGAATTAGACTAGACATTTCTATTAGGTCTAAAGTCTAATAATCCATTATTTGAGAATTAAATAAGATTTAATTCTAATACTTACTGTTATCCTTTAAATTATAGAGCAAACAAATTTGCCTGCAAACCTAAAAAAAAAAGTACAGTCAGACTTCCATATAATCACCTAATCAGTTCTACCAAAATTGGTGATTTTATAAAGGTAAGACTATAAAAAAGGTAACTTTTATATAATCACCACTATATTAAAAATCATGTGCAGTGACTATATAAAGGTTTTATTATAAATATTACATAAGTCCATATATTAATTGTTAACAAGTTTATCATTTATAAATTCTTTATTAAATTGTATATATTTATTATTTATTAATATAATCAAAACACTATATAAATGTCATTAAAAACTAAAATAATTCATAATTGATACTTGTTTTCAGGATTGTTGTTCAAGCCACTTAACAATCTTAAAGTACTTTTTAAAAAGGCTTAAATCTTCTACACAAAATTCATCAATATTCTGCTGCTCAAAAAATAAAATCCAAATTTTTAAAGATTTAGAGCATCATCAGGAGGTACCAGGATTTCTTCATTTTCAGAATCACTGTTTTCATCACGTATTTTCTCTTAGATCAGCTTTATAATATCATTTTCATCTAAAATATTCTCAGTTGGAATTTCTTCTAAGTCTTGGAAAAAATTGGTTAATGCATTTGCTAATGAAAAAGCAGAAGGATTATTTATATCAAGCTCTTTGATTATTTGATTAATATCAGTTATTTTATTATCTATTACTTCTTGTTGAATTTATAATATGTCATCTCTATCTTTATTAGATAAAGAAAGCAAAATTCCAGTTTTCTTCCAACAGTTCTATACTATTTCTTCAGTTACACAACTTCATGCTTTTGCAATATAATTTATTACTTCTTTTATATTAATCCTTTCACTGTTTATGTCTTTTCTATCTTTGAATAGATCCAGTATATGATGACAGTACTTTCTCTTAAAGTAGTTTTTGAAGCTTGTAATGATTCTGGCATCAAGTGGTTGAAGATGACTTGTAGTATTAGAAGGTAAAAAAGCCACTTTGATATGAGTTATTTAAAGCCAAGAAGTGTCAAATTGATGTCCTTCTGATCTATTATGATTATTACAACTTTTTGATCTATTACAACTGCCATGACCTCTTGGTCTACTACCATCATGACTGTCATGACCTCCTAATCTACCACCACGACTATCATGACCTCTTAATCTACCATCATAATTACTAAGACCTCTTGAAGCTCGACTTTCTATTATCATTAAATTATATTATATAATTAGCATATAAAAAAAATAAAATAAAACAAAAAATAAATAAAAATATAAATAAACCTAATTTTACTAGATATAGATGATTCATCTTCATCATCTTCATCTTAATCAATTTCTACAACTGATAAATAATATGGATTGAAATGCGATGAAGTATTATCAACCAGAAGTAAAATTTTTTTATTTTGTACTCTGAAATAGCTGTCCATTTCATGAAGAACCTCTTCAAACACTAACAAGTTTATCTAAATTTTAGGATTATCTCAATAATAAATGGGAAGACATTTCAAATTAATCTTTGAAAGAGGTCTCAGATGCTTCAAATTGCTGATTACCCATAGTTTTAACTTGTCAGTTCCTGTTGCATTCATATTGAAAAGAACCGTAATTCGTATTTTATCTTTCTTTCAACTAAGAACTGGTTTTGTCAAGAGTGTTTGACTTAGAGCATTCGATAAAAAAGGTCCTATATTCAAAAATAAAAAATATTAGCTAATTACATAAATTATATCACATTTTATGCTACAATACTATGCATTTCTAATTATACGCATATTCAATCAGACTATAACATTTTACATTAGTTCTTAAAACTTCTAAAAAGTGCAAATTTTACAATTCTGAAAATAATAGTAATAACAAAAACTGAAAAAGACTTTCTGTTTCGTTAATGTTGTAAATTCTATCAGGAGTATATTGACTTAAAATTGATTGTAACCTTATACGTTCTTCTAAAAAAGATGCTAAAGGTGCACTTCCTGATTCACTATACATGCAGTATCTATGAATATTATTACGTCTTTTAAACTTATGTAGCCAATTATTAGAAAGAGATAAATTTTCTTTTTAAATATTAAAAGTTTCAGCAAAGATTTTTGCCTTTTCTTTTATTAACAAATCTGTTAATATTACACTATTAGCTATTACATTTTCTACCCATAGACTCATTTAAAGCTTTAAACAGTTCAGTTTAGTCTGAATTAGATGCCAATCTGTATCTGAACTAAAATTTCAGTTCAGTTCAGTTCAGATTATTAATCTTAAAAAATGTCAATCTGAATCTGAACTAAACTGCAGACTGGTAAAAATCTGAATCAAACCAGAATTTTTAGATTAATCTAAAATTACAGTTTGATCATATAAGGAATTTGCAATTTATATGCGAAACTCTAAGAAAATCATGAATTTCTCTTGAAGTTCGCAAAAATTTGCGAAATTTGATGAGTAATCACAAAAATTTGCAATTCTCCAAGATTTTTGCATTTTTTTTGCGAAATTTGAAGAGAAATCGCAATTTTTGCAACTCTCTAAGAATTTTGTAATATTTTTTGCAAAATATTAAGAGAAATTGTAAAAATTGCGATTTCTTTTCAAATTTTGCAAAAAAATTGTGAAACCTTAGAGAATCGCAATTTTTACAATTTCTCTTAATATTTTGCAAAAAATATCACAAAATTCTTAGAGAGTTGCAAAAATTGCGATTTCTCTTCAAATTTCGCAAAAAAAAATGCAAAAATCTTGAAGAATTGCAA